TCCCAAGGAGACAGCCTTTCGCCACTCCTATTTGTTGTCTGTCTCATACCAATGTCGCTGATCTTGAGAAAGATGAAACCTGGATATAGTTTGGGAAAGAACCAGCCAAAATTAAATCACCTTCTATATATGGATGACTTAAAGTTATTCGGACTGAGTGAAAGAGACATAGAATCACTTGTAAATACAGTTCATAGATTTAGTTGTGACATTGGCATGCAATTCGGTATAGAAAAATGGGGTGTAATTGAACTACCAGATGGAGAGAAGATGAAAGGCGTCAACGAAAAAGGTTGGAATTGATGGAATGGAATTGAACTACCAGATGGAGAGAAGATGAAAGGCGTCAACGAAAAAGGTTACAAGTACTTGGGTATAGTAGATGGGATAAAGGAGAAGGAAAGAGAGATTCCCAAAGGAATACAAGCGAAGGATTAAACTTATATTGAAATCAAACTTGAACAGCAGGAATGCCATTTCAGCAAAGAATATTTGGGCAGTAGCTGTGATGAGATATGGGGCTGGGATAGTGAAGTGGACGAAAGAGGAATTGAAGAAACTAGACAGACAGACACGGGAAATTTTGACAATGAATGGAGCATTGTATCCAAAAAGTGACGTCGATCGATTGTATGTTGCAAGACAGAGAGGTGGAAGGGGATTACAAAGTGTATTAGAAACGATCCAGTCAGAGGAAAATAGCCTTAGATGGTATGTTAAAAACAGCCAAGAGCAATTATTAAAAGCAGTACATAAACAACAGAAAATGAACAATGACATCATTAAACCATCAGAGTATAAAGATTAAAGAAGAGAAAGGGAAGTCAAATGGCATGAAAAAGTAATGCATGGTCAGTTTTTCAGAGATACGGATGGAATAGTAGACAGGAAGAAATCATGGTTATGGTTAAAAAACGGAGACTTGAAGAAAGGGACAGAAGCACTGATTATGGCGGCACGAGACCAAACAATACGTGCGAATTACGTCAAATATCATATCGACAAATCAAGAGATTCGCCGACCTGCAGAATGTGTGGTGAGAAGGGGGAAACAGTGAGCCATATCATATGTGAGTGTAGCAAACTAGCCCAGAAGGAATATAAGCAACGCCACGACAACGTAGCACGGATAGTTCACTGGGAAATATGCAAGAAGTATTACCTACCCAGGGCAGAATAATGGTACAATCATAAGCCAGAAGGCGTTACTGAAAATGAAAGCATTAAGGTACTGTGGGACTTTAACATAAACACAGATTACGAAATTGAGCATAGGCGACCAGACATTGTCGTCGAGCTAAAATCAGAAAAAGAGTGCTTGATCATCGACATAGCCGTGCCAGGAGATACAAGGATAAAACAGAAAGAACAAGAGAAAATCGAAAAGTATCAAGATTTAAAAAGAGAAATCGCAAGGTTATGGTGCCTTCGAAAAGTAAGTGTCATCCCAGTTGTAGTTGGTGCATTGGTATGTGTCACAAAAGAAGCAGAGCAGTACACAGAGAAAATAGGGATCAAGATCAGGAATGAAGTGATACAGAAAACGGCGTTGTTAGGAACTGCAAGAACATTGAGAAAGGTTCTCGAAACCTGAGGCTAGTTGTTCTAGCTTGCTTTCGGGAAGAACTTACCAGGAACTTTTTCCTGTGATAACAAGAGGTAATAATGATAATAACAATAATAATAATAATAATGATAATGGTATTGATAATAATGATAATAATAGTATACATAATAATGATAATAATAATAAGAAATAATGATAATAATAATTATAATAATAATGATAGAAATGATAAAAATGAAAATAATGATAAAAATGACAATAATGATACTGATAATGATAATAATAATAATAATAATAATAATAATAATAATAATAATAATAATAGTAATAATGATAATAATAATAATGATATTGATAATAATAATGATAATGATAACAATAATAATAATAATATAGATAATAATAATAATAATAATAAAAAGATAATAATGATAACAAATGATAATAATGATAATGATAAGGATAGTAATAATGATAATGATAGTATAAATGATAATGATAGTAATAATGATAATAATGATAAAAAATAATAATACATATAATAATGATAATGAAAACAATAATGATAATGGTCATAATGGTGATAATAATGATAATAATAATGGTAATAATGATAATAATGAAGATAATAATGATGATAATAGTAGTAATAAAAATAATAGAAATAATAATGATAATAATGATAATAATAAAAATAAAAATAACATTATTAACAACAACAATAATAATAATAATAATAATAATAATAATAATAATAATAATAATAATAATGATAATAATGATAATAATGATAATAATAAAAAGTATAATAATAATAGTTTTAGCAATAAGAATAACAATAAAACTAATACTGATAATATTGATAATAATGGCAATGATAATAATAATGATAATGACAATAACAGAAATAATAATAGTAATAATAATAATAAT